GGAGGACCAGTGACCTGGGGCTACAGAATGGGAGGTGGCCTTTCCGGCTTCTCCCTGCTTAGGTAGGGAGGTGGCAGAGGGGCTGTAGGCATGCTGTCCCTTGCCGAGAGAGTGAGCAGGCTGGGCCACCTTGAGGGGGCAAGAGGAGAGTACCTCATGGTGACCTCAGGGGCTGGTCCATTCTTCTTTCTTTGCAGTACTGGGGATATAACCCATGAAGCCCTGAGCCACACTCTCCTAAGAAAATGTCTTCTCTAATTTTGAGACTGGGTATCACTGTGTAGTTCACTGGCCTCAGACTTGCCATCCTCCTGCCTCAGCCTCCTGGGTAGCTGGGATTGCAGTCCCGTGCCACCATACCTGGAGAAAACCAGCACATGCCTGAGCAATGTCCTTTGGGCTAAGGGATTCACTGGGGCAGATGTGGCCTCTTGGCCCTTGAGCTATTGGCCCCTTGGGACATCCATCCAGCACAGGGACTGTGAGCAGGCACCGTGCTTCCCTTGCCTGAGCAGTGGCCTGGCTCTGCAGGGCAGGGTGCTGCTCTCTGCTCTCCTGTTGTCAGGGGGAGGGGACCAATGGCAGCGACCCCTTCTTTCCCATCAGCAGCCACAACGGTGTGCCCTGGGCTTTGTCACCGTGTCTGTTCCCTGCCAGTCTCGGCCCATGCTCTGCCTCTGCCTATCTACTCCTCCACTTCCGTTAGTGTCCTGTGTGTCCCTTGCCCCAGCTGCCTGAACTTGGAAGAAGGTGGAAGATGGAGGGCCCTGCAGCCACTGGACCTTGCCAGCCTGTGTGGGCTACACAGGGTCTCGATGGGGCGCATCACCTGCTGCCCTCGTGCAAGAAGCACAGGAGGCAGGGCTTGGGGTTCTGCCCCTGCCCAGGACTCGTGAGCTGCATACAGTGAGTCCAAGTGGACAGGACCCCTCTCAGGGCCACATAGTCCTTGCTTGGGTGGAGGAACAGCTGCACAATGCCACCCATGCTGCTTTTGGGATCATGGTGCTGGGATTTGGCCCACAGTGGACACTGCTGTCCAGGGCCCATGGGAACTGGAGACACTGGGGGGAAGGTGCCTGTGGGGTGGACATGTAGCCACTTCCATGCCCCTCCATTACCTCCCCTGTTTGGGGCCCCACATTGGAGGTTGGAGGTCACTGGCCTAAATGGACCAACTCTCAGCTTTGGATCTGACCAGAGGCTGAAGATGACAGAACAACACTTCCCTTTTCCTTGCCATGTGTGTAGAGGCCCTACTCAGCCAAGCCCAGGATCCACTTGCAAGGAGCAGGCAGAGAGGGAGTGGCTGCTTGGGATGACCTGGGGTACAGGGGCCATGCCCAGCAGCTCTACAGAAACGCAGTGTTGCTGGGGTGAACTTAGGCAGCCTTCTAAGTTGCACCTGGGCCCCAGGCACCTTCCAGTCCCATGGACCATGGAACAGCCTCCACAGCCTCCTCTGCACTTTGGAAACTTGTTCCTCAGGGCCATGTAAGCTGGAAGTTGGGATGGTGCATGCAGAAGGATTGTGGAAGAGGGGACCAGGGCAGTGGAGTAGAGATGAGGCTGTTGTGGAAGAAAAGGAGGAGGAGGAAGAGAAGGAGGAGGAGAAGGATAAGGAGGAGGAGAAGGAGCAGGAGGAGCAGCAGGAGGAGGAGCAGGAGGAGGAGGAGAAGGAGGAAGATGAGGAGGACAAGCAGGAGGAAGAGGAAGAGCAGAAGGAGGAGGAGGATGAGAAGGAGGACGAGAAGGAGGAGCAGGAGGAGGGGCAGGAGGAGGAGAAGGAGGAGCAAGAGGAGGAGGAGAAGGAGGAGTAGCAGCAGGAGGAAGAGCAGGAGGAGGAGCAGGAGGAGGAGGAACAGGAAGAGGAGGAGAAGGAGGAGAAGCAGGAGGAGGAGGAG